TGTGTGTACATACCACATCTTCTTTATCCATTCATCCATCATTGGACATTTGGGTTCTTTCCATACTTTGGCCATTGTTGATAGTGCTGCTATAAACATGGGGGTGCATGTGTCCCTATGAAACAGCATACCTATATCCCATGGATAAATGCCTAGTAGTGCAATTGCCGGGTCATAGGGTAGTTCTATTTTTAGTTTTTTGAGGAACCTCTATACTGTTTTCCAGAATGGCTGCACCAGCTTGCATTCCCAAGATTATTTTATTTTTTTAAAGTTTGTTTATTTTGAGAGACAGAGAAAGCACAGGTTGGGGAGGGGCAGAGAGAGTAGGGAAGAGAGAGAATCTTAGGCAGGCTCTGAACTGCCAGCAAACAGCCAGACATGGGCTCAAACTCATGAAAATGTGAGATCATGACCAGAGCTAAAATCAAGAGTCAGAGGCTTAACCAACTGAGCCACCCAGGCGGCCCGCATTAGATTATTTTAAATAGGTTAAAATTTAAAAGGCAACATTTTAGGAGAATTCTTTGTTTACTTTATTGATTTGAAGGTATTTTTCTTCATGCCCATAGATATCTAAGTTCTTCTGGATGGCATGTATCCTTCAGTTATCTTAAATTTCACCTGCGTCTTAATTTTGTAGTATGCGAGCCTCAAGAACTCACCTCTGCTCCTGCTTTTTATAACTTGTCTCAATGTAGTACTTCATATGAGCCAATGTAGAATATTTTAAAGCACTTGGTAAATGCCTAGTAAATTTGTGGATTGGTCCAGAATTGTGAATACCACTGGGTTTTCCATGCAGTCATTGACATAAAATTGTGATGAATGATTTTTAAGGAATGTTTGAATGACAGATGAATTGTTTAAGAAAAAATTTTGGGGAGGTGCCTGGGTGGCTCAGTCGAGTGTCCAACTCTTGGTTTTGGCCTAGGTCATGATCTCACAGTTTTGTGAGTCCCTGCCCCATGTCTGGCTCTGCACTGGCAGTGAGGAGCCTGCTTGGGATTCATTCTCTCCCTCTCCCCCTCCCTCCCTCTCTCTCTCTCTCTCTCTCTCTCTCTCTCTCTCTCTCTCTGCCCCTCCCCTGCTTGTGCTGTCTCTGTCTCAAAATAAATAAATAAATTTTAAAAAAAAGAAAAAGAAAAAAATTTGGAAATGCCTTTTAGTATCCCACATAGACTCTGAGTTTGGTTTCAGAGAGTTGCCATGAAGAAGCTTTGTTAAAATTGAATGGTTCTAAAATGAATCCTTTCAAGGATCCTGGCTGAGTAAATTACTACCTAGGTAATTTTTATAGATCTGTAATTTTGTAGAGTAAAAGGTACCAATCTGAATAGTTCGATGAATTTTGGCAAAGGTAAACAAATGTACCTAACATTCCAGTCAAGATTTAGAACCTTTCCATCATCCTAAAAAAGAAATAACCTGGTGCCATTTTCTAGTTAATCCCTCCTGCCACTGTGTTTTCCCACTAACCCCATCTGCTAGGGGCAACCACTGTTGTGATTTCTTTTGCCAAGGCTTAGTTTGGCCTGCTTTTGAATTTCATATAAATAGACTCAGTAAGTAACTCTTGTGTAAGGCTTCTTTCATTCAAACATCAGGACATGTTTTTGAAATTCATTCAGGTTCCTGTATGTAGCGGTAGTTTATTCCTTTTTGTTACTGAGTTCCATCATATGAATATATCACAGTTAGTTTGTACATTCCCTTATCGATGGACATCTGATCCAGATTGTGCCTAGTATTGAGAAAGCGTCTACGAACATTCTTGCACAGGTTTTTTTGTGAACATTGTTATGTCTCCTGGAAAATACCCAAAGTGAAATTGTTGGTTTAACTTGATATGAGACTAACGGTTTTCCAAAGTGGTTGCACCATTTTATGGACCCACCAGCAACGCGTGAGTCTTCCAGTTGCTCCGTGTCTTTGCCATTACTTAGGTTTGTCAGCCTTTAATTTGAGCAATTTTAGTGGCTGTAAAGAGGTATCTTGTAATTTAGATTTGCGTTTTCCTGGTGACTAAAGATGTTGAGCACTCTTTCATGGGCTTATTGGACATCCGTATATCTTTGGTGAAGTGGCTGTTCAGTGTTTTACCCATTTTTTGTTGTGTGGGTTTTTTGTTTGCTTTTGCCTGTTACTGAGTTGTGGAAGTTCTTTATCAGTATCTTAAGTTGGGTTCCCCAGAAAACAGACTCTGAGGAGGAGATTTGCACACAGGAAGTTTATTGGGGGACACTGTGGGGAATAACACCTGGGGAAGAACGAGCAGGGTTAAGCAGATGGAGAAGTTGAACTGTTATTTGGTTATATTAGAGGCCTCAGCTCACCTTGCAGCAGGCTCTGAAGCTGGATGGCCCTTCAGAGATTTCCTGAATGGAGACAAGGAGACCTGGCTTTGTACCTCCCTCCATACAACCCAGTGGACTCGTCATGGGATATGGACTGCCCTGGGAGAGGTTCGTCAGTACCCTTTGGCCCAAGGTCAGGTCCTCACAGGGACTCAGCTGTCTCATCAGACTGCAACACTCCCCGTGGCTAGGGGAACAGGTGTCTCCAACCTGAAGGAGGTGATGTGGACAGCGTTCCCACAGCATGTTACAGGTGTATGTATTGTAGCTATTTTCTTCCTGTATATAGCTTGTCTGTTCATTTTCTTAGTGGGTCAGCAAATGTCTTAAGTTCTGATGTGGAATTTTTTTGTGTCCTTGATAAGAAAATTTTGCCAACACCAAAACTGCACAGATATTCTTCCTTCTAAAAGTTTGAGTTCTAGATTTTATATTAAGGTATAATCCATCAGGAATTAATTTTTATGTATGATGTGAGCTGCCACCCAAGTAATTCTTGAGGGCGATCAGCTCTTTTTCTTTTAAGTACATCAGTTTCATTTCTTCTCATCTTCCCTTAATTTGCACTACAGGGGCGTCTTTCATTTCCATTTCCCAGAGTCCACCATGGTCAACGTCAAGATGCTGACAGGACAGTTTTCTTCCCCAAGCAATGTATTCGCTAGTTTGATCGTGGAGTTCTGAAAGCAAGTCCCTAAAATGAAATGGTGTGCTCAGTGCAGTTCAGTTTACCATTATTTTTGTCCTTCCTTAGAAGTAAAACTTTACATTCATGAACGTTTTTTTAAAAACAAAGGTGACTTTTAAGAATTCGTTGGAGAACATGAGAAGACTGACTCACATACCATGTCCCCTTCTACATAGAATAGAGCTGTTTTTCTGTCTTGTGTTCTCTGTGCTCTGACAGTTTATCTCAAATGAATGCTGTGATTAACAGTGCTTTGATGAGCTTAGTAACTTGTAAAGGACAAAAACTCTTAGAATAGCTCAGTATTAAATATTAAAATAGTAACACCAGTTGTTTGGTGTCATTTTTCCAAAATGCTTCAGTCACTTTCTCCTGTTGCCTCCTATATAAGACATGTACAACTGTTCTTATTTTACAGAAGAAAAGCTGAGGTACTGAATTATGAACCAGTTTGGACACAGAGCCATTTTCTACCTCCCAAGCCAGTGCCCCCTACTACTGGATGCATTCAGAATGCTGTATCTATAAGTAGCTAATAACGGCCATCCTGAATGTAGGAAGGACCCACCTGGCCTGTGTGCTGGGAAGCAGGGGGTTTCCCCTCTTGCTACATAGCAGGTATTAGCTGGTGCTGACATTGCAACTGTAGTTTCCCCGTTTTCACTGGAGACACAACGAGATCTAGATTCCTTCCTTCCTCCCAAACAAGGAAGGAGCCTTAATGCTTCAACCAGCCTTTCAACTAAGAACCCATTTTCCCACAGACACAGTATGTATACGTCTGTACGTACATATGTTTGTCCTCCTAGCCTCAGAGTCACAGGTTTAGTAGGAGAACAGAGATAACGCAGACGTTACTTTTCTTCACCTCATAAAGGAAACTAAAACAGAAAAGTGAAGCATGTACATGACACACCACTAATTATTAAAACATTTTCATGAACAACATACATAACTACCCCCTTTTAGTTTTTTAAATCATTTTTCATACTGCTAAGACTCCAGGAAGCCATATAGGGCACACCACTGCTTCAAGACACTTTGAAATATAATCTTATATATCTTGTATGTTGGGAGGCAATCTCTCAAAGAAAATTGGGTGGAAAGAAAAAAATCGAGATTAGGTTGGATTAAAACTGTAGATCATTTATGGCATTGATTGTGATGATGGTTTCACAGGTATATGCGTATCTCCATACACATCAAGTTGTATACATTAAATATCTACAGCTTTTGGTATTTGAGTCATATCTCAGTGAAGCAGTTTTGAAAGAAAATCCAGAGAACATTTTAGTACTGAATTAATTAAGCACATTTTTTTCATCGTACTTCATGTTCATTGCAGCTCAATTATGAATACGTTTCACAAATTGTATGCTACATATTATGTTTATAAAGTATAAAGTCAAAAATTTGTTAATGTTTAATTTATACTTAACTCTACTTATGTATACTTGCATTACAAATATGAGATTATCGTTGCATATTGTCTGCCATCAGCTTTTTCCTCATGGCAGTACATCATGAGTTTCTATATCCATGAATAGAATCATAGTGGGGGTTTTTATTTTGTTTTTTTTTTTATTTAATTTTTGAGAGACAGAGAGAGACAGAGCGTAAGTGGGAGAAGAGCAGAGAGAGAGGGAGACACAGAATCCGAAGCAGGCTCCAGGCTCTGAGCTGTCAGCACAGAGCCCGATGGGGGCTCGAACCCATGAGCCACGAGATCACGACCTGACCCAAAGTCAGACGCTTAACTGACTGAGCCACCCAGGCACCCCTCTTTTCAACAGTTTCTTATGTTTTTTTTCCAGGAGCGACTAAAGCTGGTGACTGTTCTGGGTGCTGGTCTTCTCTGTGGAACTGCGCTGGCGGTCATCGTGCCTGAAGGAGTACATGCACTTTATGAAGATATTCTTGAGGGTGAGAGAGAGAGAAGAGGGCCTTCTTTGAGAGATGTTGTTGACGTGGAGAGTTGAAAGGAGAAGCCTGGTGGGGGTTTTTTTCCTGAACATAGTTCATATTTGCCATACAATTCTACCCTGAGAAGAATTCTTAAAACTTCTCTTCTGACATCTTTGACATTGAACACACCCTTAGCAGTTTGTGAATTGGATGCCCTAATGGCTAATGATGTTAAACACTTTTTCATATGCTTGTTTATCTTTATTATGTGTTCTTTATAATTCAAATTTTTGCCTATTTTTTAAATTGTGTTTTCTGGGGTGCCTGGGTAGCTGAGTCAGTTGAGTGTCTAAGACTCTTGATTTTGGCTCAGGTCATGATCCCAGGGTCATGGGATCGAGCCATGCTTTGGGCCCTGCACTGAGCTTGGAGCCTGCTTAAGATTCTTTTCTCTCTCCCTCTGCCCCTCTACCTGCTCCTACTGTCTCTTTCTCTCCCTCTCTCTCTCTCTGTCTCTGTCTCAAATTAATTAATTAATTTTCTTATTATTGATTTTTGAGAGTTCTTTATATATTCTAGACACAAGTTGTTATTTTTTTGTTTTTTTGCTTTTTTAAGTAAGCCCTAGGCCCAATGTGGGGCTCAAACTCACGACCCCAAGATTAAAGAGTCACATGTTCTACTGACTGAGCTACCAGGCATTCCCTGGATACAAGTCTTTTATCAGATAGGTGATCTGCAAATATTTTCTCCTACTCATTGGCTTATTTTTTCATTCTGTTAACAGTATCATTCACAGAGTAGTTTCTAATTTTGATGAAGTCCAATTTATCAATTCCTTCTTTCATGAATTATGCTTTGGAGTCATATCTAAAATCCCTTTGCTAAACCCAAGTTCACAAAGATTTTCTCTTTGGTTTTCTTCTAGAAGTTTTATAATTTTAGGTTTTACACTTAGATCCATGATCCATTTTGAGTTAATTTTGAATATGGTGTGAAGGTTTATTTTTTTGGATATGGATGGATGTCCAGTAGTTCCAACACCATTTGTTGAAAAGATTATTCCTTCTCTGTTGAATTGTCTTTGCAGCTTTGTGAAAAATCAATTGACCGCACTTGTGTTGGTCTATTTTTGTACTCTCTATTCTGTTCAATTGATCTACATGTCTTTCCTTTGCCAATACAGCATTATCTTGATGACTAACTTTATAGCAAATCTTGACATCAGATAGTGGAGTCCTTCTAACTTTGTTCTTATTTTTCAGAATTGTTTTGGTTAAACTAGTTCCTTTGCCTTTCTAAATAATTTTAGAATCAGCTTGTCAGTATCTACAAAATATGGTGAGACTCTGAGTTGAATCTAAGCTTAATTTGGGGAGAATTGACATCTTAAAAATACTGTATTTTCCAATTCATGAATACAGTATAGATCTCCATATTTTTTTAGGCCTTTGATTTCTTTCATCAGTGTTACAGTTTTTTGTTTTTGTTTTTGTTTTTTATTTTTTTTAACATTTTATTCATTTTTTTTTTTTTAATTTTTTTTTTCAACGTTTATTTATTTTTGGGACAGAGAGAGACAGAGCATGAACGGGGGAGGGGCAGAGAGAGAGGGAGACACAGAATCGGAAACAGGCTCCAGGCTCTGAGCCATCAGCCCAGATCCTGACGCAGGGCTCGAACTCATGGACCGCGAGATCGTGACCTGGCTGAAGTCGGACGCTTAACCGACTGCGCCACCCAGGCGCCCCAACATTTTATTCATTTTTGAGAGAGAGAGAGAGAGAAAGTGTGAGCAGGGTAGGGGCAGAGAGAGAGGGAGACACAGAATCCAAAACAGACTCCAGGCTCCAAGTTGTCAGCACAGAGCCTGATGCGGGGCTCATATTCCCAAACCGCAAGATCATGACCTGAGCTGAAGTCGGCCGCTTAACCAACTGAGCCGCCCAGGTGCCCGTTTTTGTTTTTGTTTTTTTGTTTTTTAATGTTTATTTTTGAGAGAGAGAGAGAGAGAGAGAGAGAGAGAGAGAAGCAGAGTGTGAGTGGGGGAGGTTCAGAGAGAGAGGGAGACACAGAATTCAAAGCAGGCTCCAGGTTGTCAGCACAGAGCCCGATGCGGGACTCGAACTGAGATCACGACCCGAGCTGAAGTCGGACACTTAGCCAACAGAGCCACGCAGGTGCCCCTGTTTTGTATTTTTTTTTGTTTTTGTTTTGGGGTTTTTTTTTGGGGGGGGGGTTGTTTGTTTGTTAAGTAATCTCTACACCCAGCATGGAGCTCGAACTCAAAGCCCTGAGATCAAGAGTTGCATGCTCCACAAACGAGCCAGCCAGGTACCCCCAGTATTGTGGTTTTTAGCATACAGATCTGCAGGTATTTTGTTAGATTTATACCTCAGTAATTCATGTTTTTAGTATGATTGTAAATGGTCCCGTAAAAATATTTTGGTTTCCAGTATTCTAGTATATAGAAATTTGCTAAACCTAACTTGTTATAGGAGTTTTTTTGTAGATTCTTTGGGATTTGCTAAACAATCGCATCGTCTATGAATAGAGACAGTTTATTGTTTTCCTTTCCAGAAACACTTTAATGTTTATCTTTCCAATAGTCTTTTAAAATTTTTTTTCCTTTTCTTATTGCACTGGCTAGACTATCTAGTATGAGGTTTACTAGGAATGAAAGTAGTCAGCCTTGCCTTATTCTCATTCAGTCTTTCACCATTAAGTATAGTGATAGCTTGGGGCGCCTGGGTGGCTCAGTCAGTTGAGCGTCCGACTTCAGCTCAGACCATGATCTCACACTCCGTGAGTTTGAGCCCTGCATCAGGCTCTGTGCTGACAGCTCAGATCCTGGAGCCCACTTCAGATTCTGTGCCTCCCCCTCTCTCTGCCCCTCCCCTGCTTATGCTCTCTCTCTCTCTGTCTCAAAAATAAATAAAAAAATACTAAAAAAATTTTTTTAAAAAAGTATAGTGTTAGCTATAGGTTTTTTTAAAGACTTCCTTTTCAAGTTAAGAAAGTTTCTCCTTTTGGGGCACCTGGGTGGCTCGGTTGAGCGCCCCACTTTGGGTCAGGTCATGATCTCACAGTTCATGAGTTCGAGCCCCATGTCGGGCTCTGTGCAACAGCTCAGAGCCTGGAGCCTGCTTCAGATTCTGTGTCTCCCTCTCTCTCTGCCCCTCTCCCACTTGTGCTGTCTCTCAAAAATGAATAAATGTTAAAAAAAAAAAAAAAAAAGAAAGTTTCTCCTTTTATTCCTAGTTTGTTGCAAGTGTTTATCTAGTCTCTTTATGTGGTGAATTACAGTGATATTCAAGTGTTGAACTAGACTTGTGTATACCACCCCCCTTGATTGTTAGTAGATTATCATCACTGGATTCAATCTGCTGATATCTTGTTGAGGGTATCTGTATCTTTGTTGAGGAGGACTATTGGCCTGTGGTTTTTCTTTCTTAAAATGTCTTTGTATGGTTTTGTTGTCAGAGTAACGCTGGTCTCTTAGGGTTGGAAAGTGTTGCCTCTTCTGCATTTTGGAAGTCTGTAAAAAAGCAAAAAATATTTCTTTCTTAAATGTTTGCTAGAATTTACCAGTGATACCATCTAGGCCTAGAGTTTTCTACTTTGGAAGGTTTTTAGCTATGAATTCAGTTTATTTAATAGACATAAGACCATTCAAATTACTCATTTTTTTCTAAGTTAAAGAATTAGTCAGGGGCGCCTGGGTGGCTCAGTTGGTTGAGCGTCCGACTTCGGCTCAGGTCATGATCTCGCGGTCCGTGGGTTTGAGCCTCCACCCTTGAGGGCTCTTGAATGCTTGGAGCCTGGAGCCTGCTTCAGTTCTGTCTCCCTCTCTGCCCCTCCCCCAGTCATGCTCTGTCTCTCTCTCTCTCTCTCTCTCTCTGTCAAAAATAAATAAACATTAAAAAAATGTTTAAAAATTACTCATAGTTGTTCATAGTAACCTTTTTTTCTAATGTCTTCATTAAATTTTTTTGCCCCAAAGAACCATGTTTGATTTCATTTTTTTTCTGCTTTATATTTTGTTGATTTCTGTTTTGCCTTATACATATTAAAGCTTTTTGGTCAGGTACCTACTACACATTTAGGATTACTAGGTCTTATTGGTGAGCTGACCTTTTTTCATTATTATGTCCCTATTTATTCCTGATAAATATTTCTTGTTCTCAAGTCTGCGTTATTTGATATTAACATAGCCACTCCAGCCACGTTCCTTTTGAGTAGTGTTTACATGGTATACCTTTTTTCATCCTTTTACTTTTAACGTATATCATTCACTATTTTTTTTTTTAATTTTTTTATTTAAAAAAAAAAATTTTTTTTTTCAACGTTTATTTTTTGGACAGACAGAGACAGAGCATGACGGGGGGAGGCAGAGAGAGGAGACACAGAATTGAAACAGGCTCCAGGCTCTGAGCCATCACACGGAAACCCGAACCCAGGCTCGAACTCCCGGACCAGGAAGTATTAGACCTGGCTGAAGTCGGATGCTTAACCGACTGCGCCACCCAGGCGCCCCTATCATTCACTATTTTTAAATTGGATTTATTGTAAACAGCATATAGTTGAATTATATTTTTTAAAATCTGATTTGACAATTTCTCTGTCTTCTAGTTGGTGTATTTAGACCAGGGGTCAGCAAACTTTTTCTGTAATGGGTCAGACAGTAAATATTTCAGACTTTGTGAGTCATGTGGTCTCTATTGATACTATTGAATTCTGCCATTGTAATCAAGGGTACTGATTCTTTCCTTTGTGATCACCACTCTTCTGCTGAGCCATCCAGTGAACGTACTGTTTCAAATATTATATTTGTCAGTTTTAAGATTTCTACTTGGTTTCTTTTTATAGTTTCTATTTCTTCAAATGACATTCATTCATTTGAAGTGTTTTTTTACCTTTACCGATGAAAGCGTAGTTATAATAGCTGCTTTAAAGTCTTAAGTATTCCAGTATCTGAGTTGTCTTGGGGTGGGTTGATTGTTTTTTCCCTTCATAAT